TACACCTGTATACACTGATACCGTGAAGCACTACTCATGATAGCCTACATACACATGCATACACTGTTACCGTGAAGCACAACTCATGATAATCTACATACACCTGTATACACTGTTACCGTGAAGCACTACTCATGATAGCCTACATACACATGTATACACTGTTACCGTGAAGCACTACTCATGATAGCCTACATACACCTGTATACACTGATACCGCGAAGCACTACTCATGATAGCCTACATACACCTGTATACACTGTTACCGTGAAGCACTACTCATGATAATCTACATACACCTGTATACACGGATACCGTGAAGCACTACTCATGATAGCCTACATACACCTGCATACACTGTTACCGTGAAGCACAACTCATGATAATCTACATACACCTGTATACACTGTTACCGTGAAGCACTACTCATGATAGCCTACATACACATGCATACACTGTTACCGTGAAGCACAACTCATGATAATCTACATACACCTGTATACACTGTTACCGTGAAGCACTACTCATGATAGCCTACATACACCTGTATACACTGTTACCGTGAAGCACTACTCATGATAGCCTACATACACCTGTATACACTGATACCGTGAAACACTACTCATGATAGCTTACATACACCTGTATACACTGTTACCGTGAAGCACTACTCATTATAGCCTACATACACCTGTATACACTGTTACCGTGAATCACAACTCATGATAATCTACATACACCTGTATACACTGATACCGTGAAGCACTACTCATGATAGCCTACATACACATGCATACACTGTTACCGTGAAGCACAACTCATGATAATCTACATACACCTGTATACACTGTTACCGTGAAGCACAACTCATGATAGCCTACATACACCTGTATACACTGTTACCGTGAAGCACTACTCATGATAGCCTACATACACCTGTTTACACTGTTACCGTGAAGCACTACTCATGATAATCTACATACACCTGTATACACTGATACCGTGAAGCACTACTCATGATAGCCTACATACACATGCATACACTGTTACCGTGAAGCACAACTCATGATAATCTACATACACCTGTATACACTGTTACCTAGAAGCACTACTCATGATAGCCTACATACACATGTATACACTGTTACCGTGAAGCACTACTCATGATAGCCTACATACACCTGTATACACTGATACCGCGAAGCACTACTCATGATAGCCTACATACACCTGTATACACTGTTACCGTGAAGCACTACTCATGATAATCTACATACACCTGTATACACGGATACCGTGAAGCACTACTCATGATAGCCTACATACACCTGTATACACTGTTACCGTGAAGCACTACTCATGATAGCCTACATACACCTGTATACACTGTTACCGTGAAGCACTACCCATGATAGTCTACATACACCTGTATACACTGTTACCGTGAAGCACTACCCATGATAGTCTACATACTCCTGTATACACTGTTACCGTGAAGCACTACCCATGATAGTCTACATACACCTGTATACACTGTTACCGTGAAGCACTACTCATGATAGCCTACATACACCTGTATACACTGTTACCGTGAAGCACTACCCATGATAGTCTACATACACTTGTATACTCTGTTACCGTGAAGCACAACTCATGATAGCCTACATACTCCTGTATACTCTGATACTCCAACATCTACTTTGAGTCTGTTGCGAGTCTGAGCGGGGGTAATTTTTCCTGATGTTGACGATGTCTCCACTGGGCAATACTCAAGGAGACCAGTTGCCCTTATACTCTCATACACCTGCCCTTGACGAGATGACGAACACGCCCTTTCCCCCGTCACCACTTCACATAACTTCCGTCAGAACGACACAAAATAATACCAGTCGACAAGGCACAATGTGTCACGTGACAGCATCCACCTGCAAGACTTATCCAACCAGCGTCTGTCGCAACGCCCCCTACAGTCAGCTTCTGGAGTCACTGGAGCTTGGTTTATCCTCTGAGAACAGTTTCAATAACGGCATGACCCCATAATTATTTCATAGAACAAAACGTTATTCCGCTCATTCAGCGTAGCTGGACAACCTAGTGAAATAGGAAACCCTTGTCGGTTATATATACTGTTATAACTAACAGGGGTGTAGCATATACACCATTATAACCAACAGGGGTGAAGCATATATACTGTTATAACAAACAGGGTTGTAGGATATACACCATTATAACCAACAGGGGTGTAGCATATATACTGTTATAACCAACAGGGGTTTTAGCACATATATTGTTATAACCAACAGGGATGTAGCACATATACTGTTATAACCAACAGGGGTGTAGCACATATACTGTTATAACCAACAGGGGTGTAGCATATATACTGTTATAACCAACAGGGGTGTAGCACATATACTGTTATAACCAACAGGGGTGTAGCATATATACTGTTATAACCAAAAGGGGTGTAGCATATATACTGTTATAACCAACAGGGGTTTAACACATATACTGTTATAACCAACAGGGGTGTAGCACATATATTGTTATAACCAACAGGGATGTAGCATATATACTGTTATAACCAACAGGGGTGTAGCACATATACTGTTATAACCAACAGGGGTGTAGCATATATACTGTTATAACCAACAGGGGTGTAGCACATATACTGTTATAACCAACAGGGGTGTAGCATATATACTGTTATAACCAAAAGGGGTGCAGCATATATACTGTTATACCCAACAGGGGTTTAACACATATACTGTTATAACCAACAGGGGTGTAGCATATATACTGTTATAACCAACAGCGGTCTGGCACATATACTGTTATAACCAACAGGTGTGTAGCATATATACTGTTATAACCAAAAGGGGTGTAGCATATATACTGTTATAACCAACAGTGGTGTAGCATATACGCCATTATAACTAACAGGGGTGTAGCATATATACTGTTATAACCAACAGGGGTGTAGCATATATACTGTTATAACCAAAAGTGGTGTAGCATATATACTGTTATAGCCAACAGGGGTGTAACATATATAATGTTATAACCAACAGGGTTGTAGCAAATATACTGTTATAACCAACATGGGTGTGGCACATGTACTGTTATAACCATCAGGGGTGTAGCACATATACTGTTATAACCAACAGGGGTGTAGCATATATACTGTTATAACCAAAAGGGGTGTAGCATATATACTGTTATAACCAACAGGGGTTTAACACATATACTGTTATAACCAACTGGGGTGTAGCATATATACTGTTATAACCAACAGCGGTCTGGCACATATACTGTTATAACCAACAGGGGTGTAGCATATATACTGTTATAACCAAAAGGGGTGTAGCATATATACTGTTATAACCAACAGTGGTGTAGCATATACGCCATTATAACTAACAGGGGTGTACCATATATACTGTTATAACCAACAGGGGTGTAGCATATATACTGTTATAACCAAAAGTGGTGTAGCTTATATACTGTTATAACCAACAGGGGTGTAGCATATATAATGTTATAACCAACAGGGGTGTAGCAAATATACTGTTATAACCAACATGGGTGTGGCACATATACTGTTATAACCATCAGGGGTGTAGCACATATACTGTTATAACCAACAGGGGTGTAACATATATACTGTTATAACCAACAGTGGTGTAGCATATACGCCATTATAACCAAGAGGGTGTAGCATATATACTGTTATAACCAACAGGGGTGTAGCATATATACTGTCATAACCATCATGGGTGTAGCACATAAACTGTTATAACCAACAGGGGTGTAGCATATATACTGTTATAACCAACAGTGGTGTAGCATATACGCCATTATAACCAACAGGGGTGTAGCATATATACTGTTATAACCAAGAGGGGTGTAGCATATATACTGTTATAACCAAGAGGGGTGTAGCATATATACTGTTATAACCAACAGGGGTGCAGCATGTATGATGTTATAACCAACAGGGGTGTGGCACATATACTGTTATAACTAACAGGGGTGTAGCATATATACTGTCATAACCAACAGGGGTGTAGCATATATATTGTCATAACCAACAGGGGTGTAGCATATATACTGTCATAACCAACAGAGGTGTAGCACATATACTGTTATAACCAACAGGGGTGTAGCATATATACCTTTATAACCAACAGGTGTGTGGCACATATACTGTTATAACCAACAGGGGTGTGGCACATATACTGTTATAACCAACAGGGGTGTAGCACATATACTGTTATAACCAACAGTGGTGTAGCATATATACTGTTATAACCAACAGGGGTGTGGCACATATACTGTTATAACCAACAGGGGTGTAGCATATATACTGTTATAACCAACAGCGGTCTGGCACATTTACTGTTATAACCAACAGGGGTGTAGCATATATACTGTTATAACCAAAAGGGGTGTAGCATAAATACTGTTATAAACAAGAGGCATGAAGCACATATACTGTTATAAACAAGAGGGATGTAGCATGTATACTGTTATAACCAACTATGCGTAATATATATACTGTTATAAACAAGAGGGATTTAGCATATACACCAATATAACCAACAGGGGTGTAGCAAATACGCAATTATAACCAACTGGTGTTTAGCTTATAGACTGTTATAAACAAGATGGGTGTAGCACATATAATGTTATGGATGTAGCATGTATACTGTTATAAACAACATGGATGTAGCATGTAAACTGTTATAAACAACATGGATGTAGCATATATACTGTTATAAACAACATGGATGTAGTATATATACTGTTATAAACAACATGGATGTAGTATATATACTGTTATAAACAAGAGGGGTGTAGCACATATAATGTTATAAACAACATGGATGTAGCATGTATACTGTTATAAACAACATGGATGTAGCATGTAAACTGTATAACCAGCATAGAGACTCCGGACCTACCAGTCCTTGTTGGACCCCCTAATGCCGAGCACTCACCTCTGTCTAGGGCAGTCAGGTTGCCCTGGGCACCGGGATACCACGCTAGGGTGGCCAGCGCCAGGTATAGTAACATCCTGCAGGCAGATCCTGGGGAGACAGAGGAACAAGACACAGGTACAAGACACAGGTACAACACACAGGTACAACACACAGGTACAACACAGGCACAGGTACAACACAGGCACAGGCACAAGAACCAGGTACAACACACAAGTACAAGACAGACACAGGTACAACACACAGGTACAACACAGACACAGGTACAAGACACAGGTACATGGCACAGATACAAGACAGACACAGGTACAAGACAGACACAGGTACAAGACAGACACCAGTACAAGACACAGTTACAAGACACAGGTACAAGACAGACACAGGTACAAGACAGACACAGGTACATGACAGACACAGGTACATGACAGACACCAGTACAAGACACAGTTACAAGACACAGGTACAAGACAGACACAGGTACAAGACACAGGTACAAGACAGACACAGGTACAAGACAGACACAGGTACAAGACTCAGGTACAAGACACAGGTACAAGACACAGGTACAAGACAGACACAGGTACAAGACACAGGTACATGACAGACACAGGTACAAGACAGACACAGGTACAAGACACAGTTACAAGCCACAGGTACAAGGCAGACACAGGTACAAGACAGACACAGTTACAAGACACAGGTACAAGACAAAGGTACATGACAGACACAGGTACATGACAGACACAGGTACATGACAGACACAGGTACAAGACACAGTTACAAGACACAGGTACAAGACAAAGGTACAAGACAGACACAGGTACAAGACAGACACAGGTACATGACAGACACAGGTACATGACAGACACCAGTACAAGACACAGTTACAAGACACAGGTACAAGACAGACACAGGTACAAGACACAGATACAAGACAGACACAGGTACAAGACAGACACAGGTACAAGACACAGGTACAAGACACAGTTACAAGACACAGGTACAAGACAGACACAGGTACAAGACAGACACAGGTACAAGACAGACACAGGTACAAGACACAGTTACAAGACACAGGTACAAGACACAGGTACAAGACAGACACAGGTACAAGACAAAGGTACATGACAGACACAGGTACATGACAGACACAGGTACATGACAGACACAGGTACAAGACACAGTTACAAGACACAGGTACAAGACAAAGGTACAAGACAGACACAGGTACATGACAGACACAGGTACATGACAGACACCAGTACAAGAGACAGGTACAAGACACAGGTACATGACAGACACAGGTACAAGACAGACACAGGTACAAGACAGACACCAGTACAAGACACAGGTACAAGACACAGGTACATGACAGACACAGGTACAAGACAGACACAGGTACAAGACAGACACAGGTACATGACAGACACCAGTACAAGACACAGGTACAAGACAGACACAGGTACAAGACAGACACAGGTACAAGACAGACACAGGTACATGACAGACACAGGTAAAAGAAACAAACTTAAGACCTGTTGTGTTTTTTGTGTTTTGGGTTGTTGTTTCTTTTTGTTAATCAGTGCAATGAACTATTTACGGCGAGATAATTATTTCGTATGTTGCTAATGACATACTATTACAGCTGAATTAAAGTTTGACTCATAGCTGTAAAAATATGGACAACATCATTTAGGCATCCCAAAACCGTTTCTATTCCTGTTGTACTTGACAGGAGCCGAGTCATTATCCATGTACTTAATCAGAAACCGAATGATTATCTTTGTACTTACTAAGAAACCGAATCATTATCTTTAAACTTAATGAGAAACCAAACTATTTACCGGGTTTTTATAGAGACAGCAAATCATCATCTGTGTACTTAATGAGAAACCAAACCATTTACCAGATTTTTATAGAGAAAGCAAATCATTATCTGTGTACTTAATGAGAAATCAAATCATTTACCAGATTTTTATAGAGAAAGCAAATAATTATCCATGTACTTAATGAGAAACCAAACCGTTTACCGTGTTTTTATAGAGAAAGCAAATCATCATCTGTGTACCTTATGAGAAACCAAATCATTTACCAGATTTTTGTAGAGAAAGCAAATAGTTATGCATGTACTTAATGAGAAACCAAACCGTTTACCGGGTTTTTATAGAGAAAGCAAATCATCATCTGTGTACTTAATGAGAAACCAAACCGTTTACCAGGTTTTTATAGAGAAAGCAAATAATTATCCATGTACTTAATGAGAAACCAAACCATTTACCAGGTTTTTATAGAGAAAGCAAATCATTATCTGTGTACTTAATGAGAAACCAAATCATTTACCGGTATTTCATAGAGAAACCAAATCATTATCTGTGTACTTGATTAGAAGCCAAATCGTTTACCGGGATTGTTTAAGCAGAAACGAAATCATTGACGGTGTATAATCAGCCTAGACTTTCTGCCGAAACAGATTTCATTTGGCGTAAAGGACAAATAGCTGTGGAAGTTATATGAATGAACTATCGGTGATGACACCAGGTGTTCACGAAAAGTGAAATACAAATCATTAACTGTGTACTTAAAGCGGAACGATACAGTAACACTGACATAAAGAGGAACGATATCATTCATATAGAATTCTATACGAGCTCCCGTGTAATACCAACTTTATGAAACGAGTGAATAGTTCTGGTATTTGACGAGCAGAAGCGAGTCAGATACCACAACTATTCACGAGTTTCATATAACTGGTTTTATACGAGAGCGACTTTAGTATTTTATTTATTACTTGTCATTTATAATGATTTTAGAATTATACTGTTAAGTGTAAATAGGCTGACACCTACACGATCCATGGCATAATTCAATTGAGTTTAACATAACAATACTTCAAACACGTCAAAAGTTAAAACGTATGAATTTAATATCATACAATGGTCCACCTTTAGAATTCAGGCGTTCGTCCCAAAAATTATTGTAGTGCTAAGGCTATAACAACTAACATAATTTAACTTAGACTAACGACTGTCGTTGCGCTAGAGTACGATCACCTTGTGGAACGGGGCCTTGCACCTCAAAGTTGACAATCACGTCACAATACCCGATGACGTAATTTGTGGAATTTTGTTGCAAGATCCTTCGGCGAAACAATGCCATGTGACGTCAGCCTAGCAACAATGTTGCTAGGGTCATCGAGTGTGTACGTCGTCGGGTATTGTGACGTGATTGTAAACTTTGAGGTGCAAGGCCCGCTCCACAAGGCGATCGTATTGTAGCGCAACGACAGTCGTTAGGTCTAAGTTAAAGTATGTGAGTTGCGATAGTCTTAGCCCTACGATAATTTTGTGGAACGGACACCTGAATTCTAAAGGTGGACCGTTGTATGGTATTAAACTCATATTTTAACTACGTGTTTGAAGTATTATTCTGTTAAACTCAATTGGAGTATGCCGTGGAACGTGTAGGTGTCAGCCTGTTCATACTCAACAGTAAAATTCTAAAAACGTTATAAATGACAAGTAATAAATAAAATACTGAACTCGCTCCCGTGTAAAACCAATTTTATGAAACTCGTGAATAGTTGTGATATCTGACTCGCTTTCGCACGTCAGATACCACAACTATTCACTCGTTTCATAAAATTAGTATTACACGGGAGCTCGTTTTGTATTCTACATTTATTAAAGAGAATCGCCGCTTTTCTGAATATAGCCTGATGAGTAACATAATATAAACCTAGAGCGATCCTACTAAAAGTTGTTGAAAAGACCGACTTTCCACGGTTGTGTTTGTCAGGTCGTACTGCGCAATGTCGAACACATTGACCCACAGCCATTCAGTGCCCTCGTCCATCACTCACCATACGGGGCTGATACAACCTATATCGTCCATGTCTCGTCTCACTATGTTGTTTCTAAGCACAGGTACATTTCATCCATCTTAAAATGGATTCAATAAGTACAAACATATTGTATTTATCTACAAGTACATTGTTTCTAAGTATATATATAATGTTCCAAAGTGTAACAATATTGTTTCTAAGTGTAAGTACACTGTTAAACACAAACAGGCCTTACATGGAGCCAAGAATTAGGTCAAGTTTCATAATGTCATACCATACATTATACTGAAACCTTGGCAACACGGAAAGCCATGTTGTCAAGTCGAAACGAGTAGAGGCTAAACTGAATTTGTAAACTAAATAAGAAAATTTTATCCGGTGTTTCATTTAAGTTCAGACCACAATAAGGTATATCCTTAAGAGCATTAACAGTTTAGCAGTGACGTAACAAGCAAAACATATAATTTGATAGATTATTATAAATAATTTGTAAAAAATCATACTTAAAGAAATCATGACTAGAGCTCGTGACATGCACGCGCGTGTACACACTTACCCTGCTACGTCAAGCGCAGTGACTATACTCAACGACTAATTGGTAGCAACTAACTCCTAAAATG